CTGTCGCACGGACTTCCGTCGCGTGGCAAGCATTACCGCGTCCTGTGTGCAGGAGCTATTAGTACTAAACAAGAAAGATATAAAAAATTGTTTGGTGAGTGAATGTAAAGCCCATTCTACAATTGCGTAAGCGTAGTCGTGAACGTAAGAGTCAACCAATCCGAATGTTTTATTCACTGATTGCTTTACTCTGATAGGTTGTCGTAATCACTTACAACCACTTGTGTGGTTAAAGCCCATTCTACATGGGCTTAAAGCCCATTCTACAATTGCGTGAACGTGGTTGTAAGTGGTTGTAAGTGATTACGACAACCTATCAGAGTAAAGCAATCAGTGAATAAAACATTCGGATTGGTTGACTCTTACGTTCACGACTACGCTTACGCAATTGTAGAATGGGCTTTACATTCACTCACCAAACAATTTTTTATATCTTTCTTGTTTAGTACTAATAGCTCCTGCACACAGGACGCGGTAATGCTTGCCACGCGACGGAAGTCCGTGCGACAGTCAATTAATATGTTTTCCGTAAGAGCTAGAAGGTTATTACGGAAAGCAGCATATGGATTGGTTGTCACGCGAACTTCCACGGCGCGGCAAGCATTACCGCGTCCTATGTGCAGGAGCCATAAGGATGCTACAGAGCTCGATTTTGGCGTTAGAAAATTTAATAAATTAAAAAATTTTAATTAATTAAAATATAGACTTGTACTGCACCTCAACTTAATATTCATTTACAATAGCTTAGATCATTTTTTTTTTAACATTTTGCTCTAAAAAACGTTCTATCGCATCCTTGGGATTATGTTCCTGATTATGAATATCACAATTATATTACGATTTTCTTTGTAGTTTGCTCAAAATTTGGATAAATACCAATGTTAGTTTCGGGTCTTCCGTGAGATGTACTACTTGGACTCCTGTAAACCCTTAAGGCCCAATTCCACAAACTCCAGTTAACTTAACTGGCTGGTTATTCTATTGGACTTGACCAAATGCATTTGATATTAAGAAGAGTTAACCAATCACTGTTGGGACCTAACTAATAGTTAAAATTAAACGGATGTTGTGGAACTTCGCCTAAGTCCCGAGCTACAATAGATGTAGCAAGATTTAAGCTTTAAGAAATTGACCAATCACAGTTGATTATTCTCCTCAAATTTGACTGTGATTGGTCAATTTCTCAAGGCTTAAAGCTTACTACACTTATTATGGATCAGGACTAAACGAACCCTCCTCCTTGACAGTCAATGGCTGCATTCAGTAGACTCAACAGTTGAGACATCTGTTTCCGAT